AAAGCATACATAACTCTGCTGTACTTACAGGGATTTCTTGTAATTGCAGGAATATAAAAGATTTATGGAAAAGTGATGGATCAAAATACGACATAAAATTTATGCCCATATATGTATCTGAAGACTTGTCATGCTTTCAGTTTAGAAATTTGTCCTGGAACTCAGCCACCAGGTCCTTATTTGTATAGTTATAAACCAAATGATGTTGTGAACAGACTTACTGCTCCCTTCTCCCAAACTAACTGGAATGTGACATTCAGCAGTTGATTTACCAGTTTCTAATCAATGTTACATTTACTAACAGAGTACAAGTTGATCACTGCAGGAACTGTACGCAAGAACAAAGTAGAAATTCCAAATGAAATGTTGCAATTTCAAAACAGAGAATTGTATAGTACCATCTTTGTGTTTCAGGAAGATTTACATTGGCCTTGTATATAGCAAAAAAACAAAACAAAACAAAAACCACCAAATTGGTACTGCTGATGTCAACATTGCCCCATGATGGAAGTATTGATAGGGAAACCTTGACAAAATGGAAGCCTGAGATGGAAACTTTAAACAACAAAGGTGGAGTAGAGGTTGATAAGTCACTATGATAAGTAACTATGATGTCACTTGAAACACAAAGCATTGGCCAACAATTGTGTTTTACTCCATTTTATTTTATTTTATTTTTTTGGTACCAGGGATCGAACTCGAGTCCTTGTGCTTGCAAGGCAGGCCACAGAACCACTGAGCTAAATCCCCGGCCTTACTCCATTTTAAATATGTGTAGCATAAATAGTTTGATAGTTTACAAAGACAGTAACAAGTGCAAAATACCACAGATAAATTTCCTTAGGTGTTTGGGCCTGGAACTCATGAGAGATCATTTACAGCAGAGGAAGAACAGAATGCTTCTGCCCAGGGAACTATGCAAAAGAATTATAGAGCACACTGGTGAGCTGACAGGTGAACAGGCACACACAGTATCCCAAAGACCTGCTATGACAACAGGAAAACCAAAAAGATGTCAACTGTGCCCTATAAAAAAGGACAGGAAAACAAAACCTACACGCTGTCAGTTTAAGCAATACTTCTGTACGGAACATATAGTTTTCATGTGTGAAGACTGCCCTGGGAGTGACAGTTGAAGCAAAGATTATTTTCGTTGTAGAGTTCTATTGGTATTTTCATTGTAGTTCACATAGGTTATTCTGATGTCATCTTTTTTTTTTTTTTTTGGTACCTGGGATCAAACTTGAGTCCTCGCACTTGCCAGGCAGGTGGCGGAACCACTGAGCTAAATCCCTGGCCCAGTTCTGATGTTATCTTTAAGCTTTTATAAGCAAGTAAACAGCTGATATGAAAATGTTTATGTCTATTCTAAGTATTCATTACACATTTGATGTTTTATTGATACCTGATTTCCCTGCTAAATACACATTATACAGCAAAGTAGGATGCTCCTGGCAGAACAGGAAGAGAAGAGAGGTGAAAAGAATGACCTGCCATATAGAAAAGGAAAGCCAAGCACAATGCTGTCAGTGTAAGTGAGACACGCACATGGAGCATGCAGTTGTCATGTGTAAAGATTGCCTTAGGTATAACAGCTGAAGCAAAGATTATTTCTGTGGTAGACTTTTGTTTGTGTTTACATTGCAATTCACATAGGTTTTTATTTTTCATGTTATTTTTTATGTTTTGTAAGCAAGTATACAGCTGATGTGAAAATGTTGATGTCTATTCTAAGCACTCATTACATATTTGCTATTTTATTGATATCTTATTTCCTTGTGTAGGTGTGGCAATTGAAAAAAAGATTTTTTTGTAGAGTGCTTTTGGTATTTTCATTGTAGTTCACATAGGGATTTATTTCTGATGTTTTCTTAGGTTTTATAGGCAAGTACACAGGTGATGTGAAAATGTTGATGTTTATTCTAAACACACAGTACATATTAATTTATACTTTATTGTATTGATATTTTATGTTCCTATCTACACACTGCATAATATAATGACCTCTCAATAAAACCGCAAGACCAGTGAGATGTGAAGTATGTCCTACAAAAAGGCCAAGAAAGCAAAACACATGTGCTGTCAGTGTAAGCAATATGTGTATGGAAAGTGCTGATGTCATGTGTGAAGACTGCCTTAGGAACAAGGGATGTCTTTCCGTTTTCTTATATCCTCATCGATCTCTTTTTTCAGAGTGTCATAGTTCTCAATGTAGAGAGGTCTTTTGCTTCCTTTGTTAGATTGATTCCTAGATATTTGGTTTTTTTGGATGCTATTGTGAAGGGGATTATTTCCCTAATTTCACTCTCAGTGAGTCTGTTGTGTACAGAAAGGCTGTTGATTTTTGAGTGTTTACTTTGTATCTAGTTACTCTACTGAATCTGTCATTTAAGCCTAGAAGTCTTTTGGTGGAATTTTTTGGGTCTTCTATGTAAAGTATCATACCATCAGCAAACAATGACATTCATGACAAAAACCCTGAAGAAAATTGGAATAGATGGTCTTTATCTCAACTTGATAAAGGCTATCTATGAAAAACCAACAGCCAACATCATATTAATGGTCAAAAATTGAAAGCCTTCACCTAAAATCAGGAACAAGACAAGGATGTCCACTATCATCACTCCTGTTCATTATAGTTTTGGAAACATTAGCCCCAGCAATTAGACAAGAGAAAGAAATAAAAGCAATAAAGATAGGAAAGAAAGAAGTTAAACTGTCAATATTTGCTGATGATAAGAATTTATTTCTGTTGTTCTTTTTTTAGACTTTTTGCACCAAATAACAGTTGATTGTAAATTTTGATGCTTTTTTATAAACAAATATTAAAAATGCAATACTTTTTTATGATTTTTTTTTTGCTGTTAAGCACTCATTGTTTAATAATTCATCAATAAAAATATTCTAAAGAGTAAATATGGGTTTGACACACCCATGTTTCTGTAACTTCGTGACAAAAAATGAAGCATCATCTGAATGAGTTATGCCTGTTTTAAAGTGGTGGGGATAGTGAGAAAAGTGAAGAAAGAACCTCAGCACTGTAATTTTGATGAATTATACTTTGTGATTTTTTTAAAAATTGAGGTTTTTTTTTGTGGGGGAGGTGTTTGTGAGGTTTTTGTTTGTGAGCTTTCTATAACTTAGGCTGTCCTTGAACTTAAGATCCCCTGCCTCGGCCTCTCCAGTGCTGGGATTAAGGTGTGCATCACCACACTGTGTTGGATTGATTTTCATTTTAGACATTAGAATAGATGTCAGGTTAGCCTTCTAAAATCAGTCTCACTTGAATTTGTATAATTTTCTTAACGGGAGAGAAAGGGATAGGTTGGAAACTACCTGGGAGAGTGAAGAATGAAGGAGTAGAGGGAGAAATTCAGGGATTAATATGGTCTCCAGTTTATTTCTAGAGTAGAGTAGTTCATAGTATGCCTGTTATGGATGTGTCTTACTCTTAATGTCTATAGAGGAGATTAAAGGTTGAGAGCTTCCTGTGCACAGGGTTAAAGTTCACAATGATTTGAAGTTTTCCACAATCTGGTCTTTTGTCTACCTTTCTTGGGTATCCATATTCATACTACTATGTTCTGTGCTCGCTTTGGCAGCATGTATACATATTGCTCTCTTCCAATCTCCATGTCTGCTGTTTCTTATCATCCTAGTCCAAAGCACATAATTTCCCTTTTCAGTGATTAACAAATCTCTCTCTCTTTTTTTTTTGTTTTGTTTTGTTTTGTTTTTTGAAACAGGGTCTTACTATGTAGTTGAGATGACCTGGAACTCACTAGCCCAGGCTGTTCTGGAACTCACAGTGATCCTCCTGCCTCAGCCTCCTGATTGCTGGGATTACAGGCGTGTGCCACTACACCCGGCAACAAATCTCTTTGACATGAAGAATTGATCTTATTTTCTTTATATCTGTTTTAAGAAAACATTTGGATGTTTGAGTTTACTTTTTCTTGAGGAACCAAATACAGCTGCATGATCATCAGATAAAACAAAGCTTTAGATATCAGAAAGTACTACAGGGAACAAGGGAATAATTGAAAATGCCTTTCCCAGATCTATTTTAATATGTAGTTAAAATATGCTTTCTAAAAGTCCAATAAGGCACTCTGTAAAGTGTATTCTTTCTTAGCCTCAAAGCTTGATGTTGTAACTATTATTATTAATGTATTTTTGGTTTTCTGAGATAAAATCTTGGTATGTTTTTCAGACTGGCCTTAAAATAACTGTATAGCTCAGGGTGGCCTAGAACTTCACAGTGATCCTCCTATCTCAGCCTTCCCAGTATTGGGATTACGGGTGTAATCATGCCTGACAGCTTGATATTATTTAAGATAATGATTTATTACTGAAGGAAATAGAAATTAAGTTAGTGGAATTGTTTTGGTTATTTGAATTATGTATAGTTTCTGTGGAATAGTTAATAATGTTGTATTTGGAACCATTGGCAATCAGAAATAGATTGAAATGTTTTAAGTCCCATTGTAATTTCATAGTCAATAAATTGATTTATGCTGTGATTCAGTTTGTCTCCTATGTACACATAGTAAAAAATAGTAGTTTCTGTATCCATCAATAGTGGTATCTTTTATTGCCCTGATGTAGTGGAGTTTATTATATTTGAGGAGAAAATTAAATGACAAATTCATTGCAGTTAAAAAATTACACTAACCATTCTAATGCTGCCACTAAAAACCCAAACTGAACCAAAACAAAAAATAAACTAACCCAAATTAAAAAGAAAACAAAAAACAATTAAATCTTTGACACTCCGTCTTTCATTCTCAGTGGGAACCACTTAGCTAACTTTGAAAGCCATTTTGCAAATATCTTACAGAATTCTTTATTTGCCAGAATGTAATAAAAAAAAAATCCTGAAAACCAACAAGTACATAAAACATCCCATATTATTAACTTGTATACTGCGCGTTATTCTGAAACTACACACTTGTCTTCCTAATGAAAAGCTTTTATTTATTTCTTCCTTTCTTTTATAGGAATATATATGTCCTAGATGTGAATCGGGCTTTATTGAAGAAGTAACAGATGATTCCAGGTATTGTACGAGCTAATGAATAAATCAGACATTCTCTTATAAAACTAAAGAAATAGTATTAACTAAATGAACTTGAAGGAGTTTGTTTTCTGAATTTGATGAGAAGGAACACGTGTGTGTGTATGCACATGTGTACACACAAAGTGAGGGCAGAAGAGGTGAGAAGGAAGGGCGAGAAAAGAGAGCTGGGAAAGTGTTATGAGAATGGGTATGATGAGATCCACGTCTTCTGATTGTTTCATTCCTCGGGGCCCTCTATACCCCTATCAGAATAAGTCTGGTAAGTCTTCATTTATTTCCTTGGATTTTGGGGTTCTCTTGGATTATTGGTTAGTTTTCAGTGATCACTTTGTTGCTGAAGGTTAAATTGCTACCGTACATCTTTGGTGGGCTACAGAGCGACTTCTGATAAGACATTTAACAAAGTAAATATGTTCTAGCCAGCAAAACTGTGTTGTTATTCTTAGGAAACCTTAAAACCTTTCTTCTTGTTAGGTTATTGCTGTTAAACTTTTACTATCTTGCCCACTGTATATTAATATTTGAATTTGTAATACTTGAAATTTGTTCTCATTGGCATCAATAGAGATATAAAACCATAAAAACAATTATAATGTAGCATTGATTTTTTTTTTTTTGGCTAACCCCGATGGCACATTTGTTTTTTGAGGGCTATCTGGTTAAATATTTGTTAAATAATCCAATAAATACCAACTGGTTAAAAAGAATTTGTAATTACAAATTCTTAATCTTAGAATGACTGGGGGATTCTAATGGTCACAGTAGATAATTCCTTTACTGTTGCAGAATCTAAAGTTGAAGGTGTATTCTACAACCAGGAAAAAAAAAATACACATTTTATGGTATGTATGTACTGTTAGTACCTGTGTATACTAACAGTATGTACTGTTAGTTTTACTTTATTAATGATTGGTGATTATATTTGTAAATGAATGGAGCTTCTGGAGCAATATATGGCATGGGATTGTTTGGTATAAACACTTAAATGTTGGTATAAAAATAACAATACAAATGCTAAACCAGTAAGATTAGCATGACAGCAAAATTAGCATGTGTGGATGGCATGCTGACTGGTGCAGTATAGCTTTTTTATTTGTGCTATCATAATTATAATAAATACTTATTTCAGGTGCTTATTCACTGCATGTGTTGAATAAAGATATTGACTGTAGTAATTAATGGGCTTATTTTTTTCTAAGTATTTAAAATACTAATCCTGGTTTCTTTAGGCAGATAGTACTTTTTTTAACAAAATACAAATACAGCCAGGTGTGATGGCCCATTCCTATAATCCCAGCACTTGGGAAGCTGAGGGAAGAGGTCAGTCTAGGCTACATGTTGAGTTTGAGGCCAGCTGCCTACATAACAGGACCATGTCTCAAAAACAAAATAAAATGCAGTTGTTAGTAGTGTGATGGTTAATCACAAAATGAATCTTTGTGAGACACAGAGCTATGAATTCTATGGATCTTGTTCTTATTTGACCTAATTCTTTTATTTGTGCCATGTAGGTCAAAGATTGTCCTGTGTTGTGACTATTGGTAGCAGCTACTCAAATATAAAGATTTTGTGTTTTAAAAGACATCAATTATTTTTCCTCTTAAAATCAGTATCTTACAGGTGGCATGATATTTCCTTCTACAAAATTTGTTTTTGCTAATTTGAATTTAGCAATTACAGTGGTTAGTAGCGGATGGGAAAAATAAGAGAAAGTCCTTGCATGTAAATTGGAGATAATGGGACCCATCTGCTACTAAGCATACATGTAGAGGAGAGACACTTTATAAATTTTCCTCTTTTTATCCCCCCTGTTACTGGGGATTGAACTCAGGACCTTGTGCTTTGTAAATTTTCTTAAGCGTTGTAGTTTCTCAAAATGTTATTGAGGTTATTTTTTCTTATCCCTTTATAACTAGTGCTATCACTGAAAAATGTGAAGGAATTTTTAGATAAAGGAATGTTGAAAGAGTTACAAGGAGATCAGAACCCTAAAAAATAAGAGTTGATGGTTTGAATACTAATATTTAAATTCCTGAAGCCACATAGTAAAGATAGGAAAGAAGAGGGTTGGGGATGTGGCACTGTGCCTGCCTGGCAAGCTCAAGAGATCTTGAGTTCAATCTCCAGTATTTAAAAAAAAAAAAAAAGGAAAGAAGAGGCTTGGAGGCCTGTTAAGCTTGGGCAATAAAACGGATATATAACCTTGCAATTTTGTTTTTTATGATGTTTGGTAGTTCATTTAGTTATTTAGCATAAATGTTTAGGTACTTTTGGTATTGCTGTGCAATTGAAATGATTTTTACAAAAGCATTTTTAATTTCTGAAACAAACACAAATGTTACATGGTTACTAATCAATCAATAAGGCCTAAGAACGATTCCATAAAGAATGGCATTAGATTTTGCTTTTGGTTTAACCAGGGTGTGTTTGTTTCTGCAATGATCTCTAAGCAGTGCCTGGATTGGTATTGTAATCCTGCAGATGAAGGCTATTTATAGTTTGTGGATTTTATATCATTAAGTGTTTTTATGTATGTTTGCTTTATATGTTTCTCTTAAAATGTTACTTAGCAGTTCTTGTGATTCTTTCCATCCTCTTTTCTCCCAAAGGTTAACCACTTTCTTCTCTTCACAAATTTCATAGGGACAGAGGGATTTAATATTTTTCCTGCTCTTAGGATCTTTGGGAATAAGTAGTTATTTTACCATTTATATATGTGACAGTAATTCAGGTTTTATTTTGAGTTATCAATACAGGATATTGTATTGCAGGGTTTTCAAAGGTAGTGAGTGCTCTATAATTTCCAATACATTATATAGACTCAATATTTAATTTGAGGCATTAATAAAATACAGTCTTTGCTCTTTGAATTTATACTCATGAAAGGAGGGAAAAGAGTTGAAGTGGATGAGGCTATTTATATATTTATATATTTATATAGATATTTATATAAGGTAGAATTTGGAATCAAAGAATACAGAGGCGGATAGAAGAGTCTCATTTGTTGGTGAGTTCAGAAGTGATTTAATGGAGGAGGTAGCATTTGAGATTGGCCAGAAAGGTAGACAGGATAATCAAAGTACTGTATAGGATAAATTATCAGAAGAAGAAATATTTATTTTGAACTCTTTTCTAATGTGCTAAACTCTGCACCAGACCCCTTATATTACTACATTTAATCATTCCTAAGAAATAACTTCTTTTCTCAAATGTGATCATGGAATGGTTTTATAGTAAATATTGTTTTGTTTTCTTAGCCTCTGTGAGGATAAATGTTCATTTTTTCCTTTTTTGTTAGGTCAAATATGAATTGTATCACTAGCTGAAGGTCCTTTTTCCTTCTTTGTGGTGGCCCTTTTCCAAATTTTCACTCAATTCATTTGAAATCCACTTGATTTTGTGGTGTATGTTTTCCATAGATTAATCCACATGCCAGTCTTTATCATTTCCTTTGTAGGTGCTGGGTTGGGATGAGTTGTTTTTCCTTGTTGGGCTTTGTTCTCATTATGTCATTCTATTTTTAGTCTCTGGGAAGAGGGAGCTTGTTCTTGGAATAGAATTACCATTCCTTTTTCTCTTTAGTTTTTTAGGTGGTGGTGCCAGCCGGATAGACAGTAGCACTTCAACACATTTTGCAGAGGTAAGTTTTTCCTTTGGCTGTAGGAATTCTTTATGTGGAATTTTAAAATCATGTCAGATTATCATTTCCAAGTGTGGCAAAGCATCAAAGTTTATCTGAATGTGTAAAAAAAAGTGGGCAAGAATAGCCTTTGGAAAGGCTACTGTTTTTAGAAGCTAGAACTGTGGTGTGTTACTTTTGATTAGTAGAAATTAATAGCTTCAGACTACTGCTTAAAACCCAGTAGTACTTTTAGTACTTTTTCTGCTTCTTCATTGTGTATATGGTATGAGATTAAAAACTTGTGCTGTTTTGAAATCATAGTGTTGGCAAACTTTGCTTTGGTGGCATGACTACTAAGTAAAGGAAGGCCAAGCCAGTATGAGTTGTAAAAAAGTAGTATTCAGTGTTGCACAGTATTGGTTTTTACAAGTTTTCCTCTCATCAGAATGGTTGATTGGCAGATTGAGTTTATTACTGCCTTTCAAATCCCAGTACAGGATCCATAATTCATTTCTACTTCTTTGTACAGTATAGAATCCATATATTTTGAGAATAACAAAAATCTTACCTGTGAAATAAAAACAGGGCATTAGTCTGCATCCTTAGTCTGTGTCTTTGAATACTATTTTATATTAAATTCAGAGTACTTCACCTGTGAAGAACTGGTGTCTTTCAGATGATCGTGGGTACCAACTGTGTGCCTGCTGCTTCTTCAGTGGGCTCACTGAGGACACAGCCTTTCCTTGTTCTCTGACTCATGCTTTTACCTCTTTTCCTTCACGTGGTGAGCGTTATTTTGGACACCAGCACAGTCTACATCCTGTAGGGTAATAAAGAGGGGCATAAGTGTTCTTCCTTGGTGGCTCCATTTTTCAGTGGCTTCATAGCCTCTAAATATTTGCTCAGCACATATTTAACAGTGGTCTTCCCACTCCACACAGAAAACTGGGATCTCATGGATTTTCCAAGCAATATTTTTAAATGTATTTTATCTTTTTAATTAACAGATAAAATTGTATATATTTATGATGTTAAAAAAATAAATTCAGTGTACTTTTCTTTTTTCGCTGTATCCATGGACCTAAAGATCTATTTAGTTGTCTTTCCAAACAAACATTTTTAAGTATGCAGGTTAGTAGTCTTAGAGACGAAAGCCCAGAAGGGACAGACTATTTCAGCCTACAACAAACAGTGTGGTTTGCTTTTGTTTCTCTATGTGTGCCCCGTATTGTCACACAGCTTTCTGGGCTCTAGAAAGCAGATAAATATTAAGGAAAACAAGTTAAATCCCATAATCAAAATTCCTTTGTGTTTCAGGTTTGCATTAATTTTTTTCACAGGTAGCTGAAGAGCCTAGAGAGTTAGCCAAATAATTTGATATTTATTTTGTGTATAAGTAAGAACTTATTAGCAGTATTTTTTTCATTGAGTTTATTGGTACTTTCTAAGTATACAGTACAGTTCCATTCATCATTGGGATCTTGTACCTTTACATGACAGATCTTGGTTCTCATTTTTTTCTCCATACCCCTGCCCTCCCTTAACCCTCACCCTGCTCCCCTTTTTACAGAGACTTTGTTTCCATTTTTTCCTTTTCTCATATTTTTTCTTTTCCCTCATTTTCTTTCCCCTTCCCACTTCCCCTACACTTTTAGCCCTTTTCTTCCTATTTTCACAGTCAGTTATACAATTTGGATCTTACTTACACTCTTAGTTTTTCACGCCAGAGATTAGCAGTATATTTGGAAAGTGATGTTTAATAAGCCCATATAACTCTTAAAAGTCCTATCTTATTAAGGGTATTTTCTTGTGCTTATAGTGTATGGCATTTCCTCATACCTAGTTTTCAGGTTTTTTGCTAACTCTGATCTGCGTTCATAGAGAGATTATCATCACGTCTTGGAACCCCCATTTCTATGTTCTCATTTTGATGAACTAAAAAACAGTTATTTAAGTTTTGTTCTGCTTCAGAGGCCCCAGAAGAGTTTCTTATTTTAACATTTTCCCTCGTGTACAGTTGATGATCAGTTTGTGATTTTGCATATGCCGAAGTAACTTCATTTGGTTTGAATATTAGTTCTCTTGTAGGAAATGGTAATAGGTTGGTCTCTCAGTTTTGTAGGAATGACTCAGTCGGAAGAGATGCACTGAGTAAGAAGAAAATAAATGTAGTCAGTTTCCTAACTTAAGTAATGCTAAATCTGATGTGGATGGCATAAGCTATCCTTCAGATGTCACAGTAATTTTATAATTTTGCTGAGTCATATAACTGGTGACTTCATGTTCTTTATCAGTAACAAAAGGCATAATTATGCTCACTTCCCCCTCTGTAGAATTCTTGTTGTCATGGCTGAATGTTTAAATTTTCTCTTTTTAAAATGATATTTTGTATTTTTTTAAAAGTTAAAAAAAATTGGGGGGGGGTGATGGTTTGAGACAGGGATTCTGTGTAGCCCAGGCATTCCTCCTGCCTCAGCCTCCCCAGTGGTGGGATAGAGGCATACGCCACCACACCCAGAGGTATTTTGCATTTTAAAATTGGAAAAATTTATCTTTCTAATATTGTAGAAGTTGCCAGGGATTTTGAAAATTAGCTGAAAAATACATAATCAGTGTTTTTATGAGTAACACTGTGCTAGAAGTAGGGGCAATTGGTTGTCTGCAAGGCCCTTATAGTTTAGTTGGAAAGCAAGTACAAACACATGAAACAAAACTAGAATGTTCAGAGAGTATAATAAATTGATACTGGTATTTACATAACAAGTACATTTGCAGGAAGAGTCATACAGAAGTTATTAAGAAGAGCACGGCCTCTAGCCAGAGTACTTGATTACCAATCCTGGGTTTGCCAGTTACTTACTGGCTATGTAATCTGAACACAATTACTTAAAATCTCTGTTTCCTTGGGAAAATAATGGAAGAAGCCAGGCACAGTGTCACAAGCCTCAAATCCCAGCACTCAGGAGATTGAGGCAGGAGGATTGCTGTAGTTAGAGGCCAGGCTGGACTCTAGTGAGTTCAAGGCCAGCCTAAACTGAGCAGTGAGATCCTGTCTTGGAAGGAAGGAAAATAGTAACACCTCATAGTATTGTTGTAAAGGTAAAATGAATTAATATATTCTAAATGTGCAGCTCAAGTATGTCTGCTATATGGTGAATGCTTAATAAATTTTAGCCATTTCAAAGACGTCATAGAGAAGGTAGAATTTGCCTGGGGCCCCCTATAGATGAAGTGGAATTTAGGTAAGCAAAGATGTTTAAAAAAAAAAACCTGTTTCAAAATAGCATTCTTAAATTACACGGTTTTTGGTTTGTTTTTTTTTTACTCATGTCCCTAGAGAAAAAACTTAGAAATAAAATTACATATACCAGCACTTGGGAGACTGAGACAGGAGGATTGCCATGAGTTTGAAGCTAGCCTGGGTTACATAGTGAGTTCAAGGCTAGCCTAGACTACATAGTGAGATCCTATACTGAAAAAAGAGGAAAAAAAGAAAAGTTACTTTTATTTTCCATATTTTAGTTATTTCAGCAAAGGTTTGAGCTTAGTCCCACTGTTTTTCTTCAATAAGAGCTGCTGTACAGCAGGTTATTGTCTATAATTAGTATTTACTAAGAGCTAAACTCTTAAAATACTGGATATGTTAGACGAGGCTTAGTCAAGAAAATTTGTGACGCAGTCAATATTGACAATATATTTTCCTTCCGGTGAGGCTGGGGTGGGGATATAGATGGGATGCAGAGAAGGCAGGAGGAGGGTTACCAGCCAGGTAAATGGGAGCAGTGTTTGAGAAAGCTGAGGTATAGTGGACAGTGAGTCTAAAAATGTTGCTAGCAGTTTGGAGAGAGAGAGAGAGGACATTCTTATTCCGAGGTTCCTGATAACATGGGAGAGGGAGTCCATAACATAGCTATCTGAGGGTTTCATTGATAATTTGAAAGCTTCTTTCTTTAACTTGTGCCAGTAAGATATCTGATCTTAGAGTCTCAGCTTACCTGAAGGAATCACTTCAGTGCAGGAATGAGTGTAGGACCTGGAGGTGTAGCTCGTTGGTAGAATACATGTGGGGTACTGGGTTCAAGCCCTAGCAGCCCCACTGCCCCACCCCCAATAAAAAGGCAAAAAACCTCTACCTCCTCCTACTAAAACATCTCTGATCTGGGTCATCTCTTGAGTCTCCAGCACAAAAACTTAAAAAAAAAAAAAAAAAAGCGAGAGGGAAAGGGAAGATAAGGTATATAGCTATTGCCTCACATTAGCAGAAAATAAGGTAGAAGGCTTCCTGGAAAAAAGAGCTTCCACACATGCACAGAAGGGCAGGATGCTCTGAGCAGTCTGTCTATTTAAACAAAATTTGTTTCTGTTACATAAGCAGCATTATAATGGCAATGAAAAATATGGGTTTAAATATTTTAAGACTTTCAGGTTTTGTCCTGAGGTATAAACACTGAAAAATATTACAACAACATTTTTTTAAATTAAAAATCTCCCATATTCTCATTACTTTATCATAGCTTTGTTTCTTTGGCATATTACTTTGCATTTGCATACGTGTGCAGCATAATTTTCACTTGCAGTCATTGAGTATATTGTATTTCTGCTTTTGAATTTTTTTTAGTATTATGTCATAAATCTTTCATGTCTCCATAGTATATTTTATGATGTGTTTATAAACTGTATTAAGAATATCTTTTATGACTATTTTTTGTGCTCACATTATATTTATTAAACTATTATCCTCGGTTAGGCATGCCTTAATTATGTGCGATGGTTGATCATTGATCATAGTACTTCTCTGAGTCTAGAACATATTGAGAAAACACAGCAGCTAGACAAGTTGGAAATAAAAACTTCATTTTTATTCAGCTGAATTGGAGAACATAGTTGAAGAGTGACCAAATGGATGTATCCTAAATTTTTTTTTGTTCTGTTTTTTGAGACAAGGTCTCACTATGTAGTTGAGACTGACCTGAACTCACTATGTAGCCCAGGCTGGTCTCAAACTCACAGTGCTCCTC